ACAGCCTGTCCAAGGCCCTGCGACTCCCCCCCGCCCACCTCCAATCCCCCCACCCCCCACGGGCATCTCAACCTCACAAACTCCTTATCCTCATCCCCCTCGGTCGGAGCTGCATATCTACACAAGACTCGACTTCTGGCCCAACTGGCCGACTTGTCCTTTTCGTTGGATACTGGACTTGTTATGCGTTCGCTATTATTAGTAATCGAAATTCCTTTGTTACAGTATCGTAATAAAAGAATTGTTCGTAATTTTTAAAAAATTCTATATTGTTAGTTTCGTCACCATTTTTTTTTTTTTTTTTTTCGTTTTTATAATCGCCAGCCTGGTTAATCGATAATGTCGAAACGTGAGTCTGGCTTAAGTACCGAGTTTCCAAGAACCAAGGCACGGCCGTTCAACTTGTTATTTCTGACCGTTATCGGCTGTTGTTGCAACGTTACGCTCGGTGCGATTTTTACGCAACTGTGATAACTTCCCCAGTTGCAGAACCGCAACTGGGTACGCGTTATCAAATCGAGGAAAATTCAGTTGGACCTAAATTGTCGCTGGCAAATGGAATTGACGGTCTGAAATCACAAAATTTTTGTTATCGAATTCAAAGTATATTTTACGTAATTTCGTTAATAAGGTCGATCGATGGAAAATTTTTGAAAAATTTTTCCAAAATTACGTTAAACCCACCGCAACGACAATGGGCGTCCAACCAGCCAAAGAATGGAATCCTCGCGCGCATCCGAACTGCGTGCGGACGCCCATGCCTGCGCCGCACGCTCGAATTCTATGTCATGGGCCAAGCCTTGAATTCCACCTAGGAGGGATCTAGCCAACCCAATTATATATTTATTTGCTACGTAATATCGCACTGGCCCCGATCCTAACGCAGCATGCAACTCTTGTATAATCTACACCGTTATGTAAGTCGACGAAGGCGGGCGACATTCGACATTGGCCGAGGCGGCCATTTCCAATCCGACGACTAATCCACGTTGATACGCCATTCCGAAACCAGTTGCAAACAATAGCCTAAAAGAAAATTTTCATTTTCGAGCCTACCCCACGCGTGCCTTTCTGCTTATCTCCAGCGCGGGAGTCACGGCGATTCGACCAACTAATCCAGCGTCCTTGTGACCCGTCGTAATCACAACAATCGGGCGGATACGTTTCTGTTACGTCACGCGAGTTACCTAATAATAACGGTAGAGCGTAACGTGATTCCGGAATCCAAAAAAAAGAATCCAAAAAAAAAGGGCATATCACGCTCAAGAAATTTCTCCAAGGCGGCACACCGGGAAAAGTCGCAAGGAGACGTTGGAGTGGGTTTACCTGAACAGAAAGAAAAAGAAGAAAAGAAAAAAAAAAAGTTGGTAAGAAAGAATTATGAGATGATCGGAGGGACGGGACGAAAGAAATACGTATAGTTAATCGACGTGGGCAAGGTCAGTGAGTCTCACGTAACGCGTAACAGTAAAGGCCACAGCGTGATCGGTTCGATCTTTGTCTTTGGAGCTTTCTTACCCTCCAGGTGAAATGATCCATCGACGACGTGTCGACCGTGTAACGGGTGTCCACTTTGTACGTAGACCACGCGGGTCCTTACTTTTTTTCAGCATCGTTGACTCGGGAATCGAAAAAAAAAAAAAAAAATGTCATCCAGCGACACTAGATTTTTCCAAAATTCTTACGAAAACGCCCACGGAAGACGGAAATTTTTTCAAATTTTTTTTTTGATCCCACTGAAAATTGAATCTTTACGGTTGACGTTGACGCTGCCTGCTCGTTCGAATGCGCCTGATGCGTACATGCGGTCTGGCGATATTCCCAACCGGAAATGGCGTTGGAAAATCTCGGGGTCCTCGTCGAGTTGGAACCGGCGCAGAATTACGGCCGTAGAAAATTGCTGCCTGCCGTCGGGACACGTGGGGACGCGCTTGCATTCCCTGTGGCATTCCTTTCGTCGCGCTAGCGCCACATTGCTCCTCGTTAGACGCACCAGAGGCACTTGGCTTGGTTTCTGGTTCGTCCGATCCGACTGGCATGGTTACTCTCTCTATTCCCAGATCGGTACACTCCTGTCACGATGGCTCTCGGATCTTCCGAAGAGAAAAATAAAACAAAAAAAAAGTCAAAACAAGAGAACAGAAAATTTCGTCATTTTTCATTCTTGGCCGAATTCACGCCGAGAACACGAATCGCGAGCCCTCGCATACTGGACGCCGCGAAGATCCCCGCGCATGGCCCACTGCTCGACTCATTCTTTGTTTCGGACGGCTAAATCCATTGTTACATAAATACATTACGCGAGGCAGAGTGCGACACCTAAAAGGAATCCGATCATGCGCACGACGCGTCCCACCTATTTTCGACACTTTTCATCGTGCTCCCTTTGTTCCCGTTGGATCTTTCTTTTATTTTCACCCGTTCTACGTAATACGATTGGCATTCGCCATTGACGGAGAGACTCACTTCGTACGAAGTACATAGAATCGTAACGGAACATGTATATATATATATATATATATATATATATATTAAGACAGATCCGGCCAGTAAACAGTATCGATACCTGTTTACGACTTTTTTTAAATATATAATATATATCCATAATGACGTTACGTGTAAACAGTCTGTTTTCATGCAACTTTCGAAATCTGCTACGAGCAGTCTCGAAAAATATAGTAATTGACGGTAATACAAAGAAGTCTTTAGAGGGAGAGAGAGAGAGAGAGAGAGAGAGAGAGAGAGAGAGAGAGAGAGATTAACGCGTTTTAATTAAAAAAAAAAAAAAAAATGATAACGATTAGCAAAAATGACCAACAATCTGCAAAGGATACTTTTGCACTTTCAGCGTGGAAACACAAAGATACTTAATGTTATTACAAATGCATAGGAATACGCAAGCAATAACGATTCGCTCTTGTTTCTCATCGGCTTTATTTATTTTTTCAATTGAAAATGGATAACGGTGCGATAAGTGAAAACGTCCAATTCTCACGGTTATATTACACAAAGAGTAGTACACTATATTGCGATAAGTAACACTGTATGGTATGTATATGTATATATATATATACGCGCATGCGCGATAAAGCAAGCATCTTCTTTTCTGACAAAGGAAAGGGTACGGTTTCGTCACTCATCGGGAATTACGTATCTAGTCGAGTGAGTATTGCACTCAATATATATATATATATATACGTGCATAAATACATGACACGACGAACCATCCGCGTACACTTACTCGGACGGTACGGTTTTATCGCGCATGATTAACTGAGTAATTTGAAAAATAAAAAACATACTCGGTGCGACACCATGGTGATGATACATTCGGCTATTTGTAGCAGCCACGTGACTCGGCGTTATCGCACCGTTTAAGCCTGATTCACCGGCAGCGCCCGCCAGGTGAATTAAACAATCGAACGCGCTCCTTGGAGCGTTGCAATAACTGCAACGCATTTTATCATATCGTCATTGCGATTAGGAATCGGATTAGTTGTCACCTCGTGTACCGCCAAGATATAATTCGTGGTTAGATACGCTAGGTGACACGTCGTTAACGGCGGCCATGTTTCTTTTTTTTGTTTACGCTTTTTCTTCGTCCTTACGCGTTACGGGCAGCTCGGCAGGATGCAGTGCGCATGCGCGTGACAATTCTCCGCCGGAATCATTCTCATTGCTATCGGGTCGCTCGACCCATTTTTCTCAAGGCTACGTCACAACGAGGCGAACGCGAGCGTGACTCTATTAACGTTGACTCGGGCTTATCTTGCGATTAACATCGAGAACAAAGACGTTTCATTGATAATGAGTCTCGATCGAGACTTGAAAAAAAAATTGCCCCGTGCGCGTCCTCGAATCGCTGGGAAGATTCGTTTTGGAATCTGGAGCTTCTCTTTGAGCCATAATAATAATAAGAATGAGGGAATAAAAACGATAGTAGAAAGTCGACCGCGGGGCAAGCAGAAGAGGATCAAGTTCTCGCGGTTTGTCTAGATTGCGCAAAGTTTCAAGCTACGATACCGGGGGTCCCCCATTAATTTCCAAGTCAAATAACTCGTTACCTTTCAATGGGAAGTACATGAGCCACGATCCCCTTTGAATCTTCTCGGGGACTCCCCGAAGCTGTGCTTATAAATTTACCGTTTCATCTTCAAAACGAAATTCCAACATTCTCATTGACGATCTTGAGGTAGGTCCTTACCACAAGGTGTAGAGCACGTAACTCCCGAGGCTCTTAAACGCGAAAGGTGAAGGTGGCCAGGAGCAAGGAGTGAGAGGGCACGAGGTCAAGGAGGGAGATGACCAATAAAGCAAAGACAGAGGCGGAGTGGTTAGGAGCGGAGCGAGTTGGACGAGGGAGAAGCGATCTTGACTTTTCTGACCATTCAGATGGAGGAAAAGGAGGATACAAATCACCGTTGCACTTTCTTCTCCGGCAAAGAGCCTGCGTGCACCTTCACCTTTCTCTTTCTCTACGGGCCAGAAACACTCGCGGCCGACATCCTTCCCGATTACTTCCGACACCTTCTCCACTTTTTACAGCATCGAGCACCTTCCTCACGCATCCCCACCGGATAACCAGAACGGGGCTTCGAGTAACGGACACACTTGGTTTAGGTCCTGACCAGGATCATGAAAATAAAATTACGAAAAAGCCCATCCACCCGTCAGCTACGCTCTCCTTCGTTAACTGCCTTTCCCTTTCCGCATGGGCTTCTAATGGCGTCCGACTACCCAAGTCATACGATCGTTCGGATAATAAAAATTACTTCGACACGCTTTTCATTATTCTCTCTCTTTTTTCGCATTATTATGAATAATATTTCTCAGCGAAAGGATCCAGCCTGCGTGTCCCTTAATATCGAGTTGCGGTACTCGGAGGATAATAGTAGATCAACTGACTAGTCAACGGTAAGCCAGTACCGTGGGAGGCAGCCGTTTCTTTTTCCAGAGTCTTTCGCGGTCGATGGAAAGCTGAAAGTTTTATGAAAGTGCATCGCGTGCAGTTGTTACGCATTTTACAAGAGGCGCAACGAGACGAGATTCTCCTCTTTCTCTTCCCGTTCAAATCCCGCTCGCCGTGCTCGTCCGTCGTTTCCCATTGGCTGCCCGACGCCAGCGCCATGGCCGTCGCCGGCAGTAGCGTAAAGCTCGCGCCTGTACCTCGCTCGTGTGTTGACGTGAAAATCGTTCGCGAGCCAAGCAATTGCCTGCCTGGGCTATTAGCCGGTAATGAAAGTAGCCTGGTTATAAGCACTTGGATAATAGGACTGTGAGACAATCGGGCAACGAGAAGAAAATAATAGTAAACGTCACTCTAGTCTCCCGCCGTCGCGCACGCTGCAATCCGTCTACATGGTTTCTTTTTCCACCGGCACGAACGACGATCTCTTTCCGTTTCCATTTTAATGTTATTGTCCTACCACGATAATAACAAAGCGGCCACTGCCTTTCTCTCTGTGCAGTGCCAATGAAACAACCTAGCCTCAACAATCTCAGAGACAACTAGAGACGACGGTAAGAACATTGCCTTTACACTCACCAGTAATCATGGTGAAAGCAGTTGGCCACTCTGATCCCACTGACGAGGCGCAAGTATAAATTAATTTTCGTCACAAGGTACGCAACTTCATGCACAATTTATTATCGTTTTTATTAGTTAACCTTCAAACCGCAGCATAACGATAGACCGTACGATCGGGATACCTGTAACGTCGAGCGAGCCTAGCATAACATAACCCTAATCTGTCAACAGCTACGGGCGGCCCTCTGTCGAGCGGAGAAAGTAGTTTTTTAACGGCGGTGGAATTTGAAAAGGAGCACGGCTGATGTCACCAGCCCTGAATAATGGATTTCAGCTCGTGTGAGTACCTCGTGTATATTTATAACATACACCGAGCAAAACGTATATACACGTGTTGTACGCGCACGTGTAAAATCCACGCATATCCTATGCGCGTATTATGGAAATGGCAATGAACTCTCCAGCTCGCACAAGCTCCTCTAGGTATGCATGCTGTATTCCTGCAATGTGCCGGGAGGCGCGAAGACGAAGGGAGAGAAGGAGAGAGAAAGAGGGAGAGACGGTGAGAGGCTTTCGAAATCGTAACCAAGGCATTAGGCGTAATACTTCACCGGTGCCACTTCATCCACGGGAGCCCCGTTCTCCGTTACTCTGCGGTATGCGTAACCCGGAGTTGTGCCAGTCAATGTAATATCATCTCGAGGTTGGAATTTCGAGAGCGGACCAGCCAGGATTGGCCAAACTTTCGAAGACATTGAACCGCGAGCGACCCATGAGTGAAACGAATCGAGACGGAACGGCCTCGAGTGCCTCTTCAAAGTGCTCTCTATACCGTTCCTTTTTTTTTTATTATTCTTTTCTCTCTCTCTCTCCTGCTTCTGTTCTTTCATTCCGCTCAAGTTCAGGGACAACATTCAGACAGCCTTCCCTTGAGAGCTGGAACGTGGTTCTCGCTGAACATTTATTTCATAATTCAAGCGATTTTTTGATCTACGTATTTTTGCGGACAATTTTTTTTCGAGTATTCTTTATTGAATGACACTTTTTTGGATTAATGTTAAACCTTGGATATATTCGATATATTAATACATATATGATTTTCTGCGAGTACGTTCATAGCCGTGCTAATGAGTTCTATTTTTAATAATCTCGATCGCACGAAAACTTTATTACGTTGCTTGGTTATCATATATATATATATATATTCATTATCAGTTAATAAGTACGTGGTCTTATCCGTTAATTTTTTTCGTTCAGGATACATTCATCCCCGTGGCCTAAAATATCGCCGGACGTCCCAGGCGATTTGGCTGCCGGTATTCTCGCTCTCGTAAAAGACGTCCGATGCGAGCGAGCGGTGTTACTTATGTAAAAATGAGAGATGTTCCTGCCACCTGGCGAAAGAGCCAACGAAGTAACGAGGTCAAGTGCTCCGGATAGTAGGCAGAGGCCTACTTTACTTTAACTAGTCTTCATGAGCATCGCAAAACGCTTTGGCTTCCCCCGACGGGACACGGAAGAGATGGGAACATTCCCGTAAGACCTTTCTAATTTCGTCTTCCAGCTAATCGCTGTTACGTTCCCTCGCCTCGCTGGTTAAACCTCCACGTGGGCCCTGATCGGACCCCCCTCGAGACCTATTCGCCTTATCGTTACGGCCCTGCCGATCTTTCCTCGATCAAGTGGAACGCATCCGTGCGCACGCGTACGCTTACATTAGCCGCACGCCGTTACTTCAGCCTCGACACAGTCGCATCGCGACGCTTTTTTTTTATGTACTCGAGCACGATAATCGGCATGTACGTACAGAAATCAATGTATTTATCATTTTGATACGCGAAACGATCCGAAGAATTGAGGTCGTCCTTGGACAGTCTTATTTGTTGTTTCTCGCATGTCAAACTGGACCGTCTCTCGATAGATAAGCGATCACGTGGGAAATATAAAATTTTCACGAAACGCGGATAACCCCAAACAACGCAGAGAGACCAGAGTGGAAGCTCAACCGGGAGTCAGTGACATAATCGTAAATTCCTACGTAAAATTTAGATCAAACTTTATCCGCGGGACGCGCTCGGGATACTTCGGATTATTTCGGCCCGGCTCGGTCAATCCTGTTAAACGGCACGTGCGATTTTAGAAATTCACTTAAAATAAATATTAGGTAACAACCTCCCTCTGAGAACTGTATACATATAGAATGAGATTTGACCTGATTTCTATATTGGTCAGTCATTTTATAATTATCGTACCACGTAAAAAAGCGAAATTGTTCGTTTCCTTTTTTTTTTCGAAATCTTGCAAAAAAAAACAAAACACCGACGTAATCGTAAATTTTAATAAGAATATTCATCATGCCACACTGTCTCATACGTTTCTCGGAAGATCTCGATTACACTTCCGGTTGGCTATTCGGCTGAGTCAGTCGTGACTGTGCATTAGACGTACCAAGCTCACTGTCCTATTACTTTAGCTTTGCAAGTAGTTCGAGGCTTCCATGTAAAGCATAAAGCTGCGATCCGCAGGCAGATCGGTAAGAATACGCAATTGTAGACGCACTGTAAAATACGCAATGTAATCAGCTAACCTGTCTACACTGCCGCATTCTATGGCGCGTCAGGCGAATTGCGCAACCGCGCATGCCGGTGGGCGTGCATCACTAAATTTATCACGACATTGTCGTAGAGCCTCGAATTCGAGTCGATCCAATCCGGGTCGTATGATTCAACGGGCGTTCAATAACAAGATGAAAATACAGTAAAGTTCGGGCGACATTTGCGTTGCGATTTTTCGATGGCGGGAATTCAGGATTCAAATTTTAACCGTTGAGTTCGGGACTTGGCGCGAAATATGAAAAAAAAGAAAAAAAAAAGAAAAAAAAAATCTCTTAAGAAAGTCCTAGCGATAAGTGATCTACGAAAAGAGGGTAATGCGTTTTAGGTGCTCTCTCTCTCTCTCTTTCTCCAGTTACACGTTCACCACAGGAGAAAGTGTCTCTACGCCGAGCGAGAGTAGCCGAGAGTCGCTTCGTGTAGCCAAGAACTTCTAACTTTATAAACGACTCTCTTCTCATCGACCTCGAATGGCCATGGTTCAATGTCCCGGCTGAAAGAAAGAGCAGCCTGGGGGAAAAGAGACGAAAAAAAAAAGGGTATGCGAGAGAGAGATAGAGAGAGTGAGAGAAATGTTCCGCGGCCGCTTATCCTTTGCGCAATCCTCGCGAAGCCGGAGCTTTCCAATCGTACGCCGAGCGTCGTTCTGTCTCTGTTGATGACTATGGGCGTCGATCGGTCATTGAGCTGAATGACTGCTGACTGTGGCAGTAACTATGCATGTACCTTACGTATGCACGTTGCCCAAGTGCCATAATAGCCAACTGTGAAAACGAAAAGCCAATTCGATACAATAAATTAGCGAATAATATAAAACAACGGACTCGGAATGCATTCGTATTTTTGTATTGGCTACACGCTATGTGTATTTCGGAGCTCGAAGAAAGTGAAATAAAGTAAAAAAATTTCTTTGTCATTCGTCATCAAACTTATTTCACTTTATTATTATTAGCTTCGCGGTATTGCCGTAAGACACGTATAATAATCTACGCTTATCTGTATTACATTACGTTAAACAACTTTCTTTTGTCTTCCTTCTCGCTGTCTTCTTTTATTATCTTAACGATAACTCTTACACGCGTCCCACGTGTGTACAATATGGGACACGCGTTTCGTACGCCATACGTGATCCTTTTACGTGGACTCGTCACACCGTCTGATAATCTCGATGTCACTCGGACTCTTATCGAATCATCCCTGTCGATAACGTATGACTTTTTTTTTTTT